GCGGCGCTCGCAGTTGGAGAGCGGTGTCGCCTTCATGGCGGCGCCGTGAGGGGGCAGCGCGCGGCACCGGGAAGGCCGGAGGGGGGGGGGGGGGGGAAGCGGGGGTGCCGCGCGCCGCGCCCGTGCGTCATCGGCGCGCGGCGGCGGCGGCGGGCGCTCAGCGCGCACGCGCATGGAGCTCGCGCGCAGGCGGGTCCGCCCTCAGGGAGTGAAGGGGTATCCAGGGGTGGGAGAGACCCATCGGGAGCATCCAGTGCGGCTCCTGGCGCTGCGCAGGACACCCCAAGCGTCACACCGTGTGCCTGAGAGCGTTGTCCACACGCTTCTTGGACTCTCAGGCTCGGTACTGTGACCACTGCCTTGAGGAGCCTCTTCCAGTGCCTGACCACCCCCTGTCGGAAGAACCTTTTCCTCATATCCAACCTAAACCTCCCCCGACTCAGCCTCATGCCGTTCCCTGGAGTCCTGTCGCTGGTCATGAGAGTGAGCGGTGCCTGCCCCTCCTCTGCCCCTCACAAGGATGTTGAAGACCTCGATGAAGTCTCCCCTCAGTCTCCTGCAGGCAGAGCAAAGCAAGTGCCCTCAGCCGCTCCCCACAGGGATCCCCCTCCAGACCCTTCACCACGCTGGTGGCCCTCCTTTGGACGCTCTCTAATAGCTTAATTAAAAAAAAAAAAAACAAACACATATCCCAGACCTATCCAGTGGTTGACGCTGTTGTGGTGCACAAACAAGGCGGGCAGCGGTGCAGGCAAAAACGGAGCTACGGCGTCAAATCTGCCCCTCCCTGAGGTTCTGAGGTGTTGCCGTAAGTAAAAAGGCCCTTACAAGTGCCTTTTATGCTTAGTTTAAGTTGAAAAGATTGTTTACTGTATCTTCTCACCAGCATTAAACCCCAGGCACTCCGACTTGCCTCACACAAAACTGCAAATATCTCACACTGTCTTTTTAAACCTTGCTAACACACTCCAGTTCTAGTGCAAACTAAAACGTGGGTCATGTTTCGGAAACTCCAATTTTGTGCAAGTGAGGACAAACACCATGTAATTTTCCCATGCTGGTTTTATATTTTCAGGTTGGGATAAATAAATAGAATCACAAATATTCAGTGTAAATAGTACTGATGAGATTACAAAAGACCCTCTTCCTCTAGGGACAAAAACAAGCAAATAGTTTTCCCAAGTGACACTAAGTGTGAAGCATCAGTAAGAAACAAAATTATGTAACACTTGCAACTTTAGCCACAAATAGGATAACATTTGGTATAACATTCTCTCTCGTCACAGCTGTGGGGATATGTTGATTGGATATTTTCCTTGGAGTCTTACTGGCAGTCTTTAGGTAGAAATTCTGTCCAATTTTAATTTTTTAATTGTGTAAATTCAGTGATAATATTATTAGTGAAGGCTTGGGGTTAAATTCTGAAACTCTTCGGTTACTGTCAGCAACCTTGGAAAGGTTTGTATTGTTTGTGGGAGGCTTCCAAACTATGTTAGTCTCCAACAATTACAAAAAATGTCATCTTGGGCATATGCTGAGATTTCTGCTTGGGGTAGAGTGGGAAAAATTCCTGTACCTGCTCTCCTGGTGAACTGTTTTGTAACTGCTTCAATGACATAGTATTTTCAAAGGAATCACATTTTTTAAACTAGGCCAGAACATCCAACAGTCCTGTCATTCATTTGCATAGGGTTTTCTTGTATTAACACGTGTTCTGTCAGAAGCACTTCCAGAGGTGTTAATTATACCCTTTTTTGCTGGAGAGTCTGGATTTTTGCTTCTGATACTGGTCCTATTCAAGACAGAGAAGTTGATGGTGAAATTCAGGAGCTGGATGTGATTCCAGGAGAACCGAGTCGTGTGTTGGGGCTGGAAATCAGCTGTGTCCTTTGATCCAAAGTCTACTTTGCAGCTTCTGTGTGTGCACATGTGCCAGGAAGGGTAAAGAATTTCATGCACAAATTAAGGAGGCATAAAATCACAGCACTGGAAATCTGTAGGAGGAGGGCACGTGGCAAATGAGGTCAGTATAAAAGGTTAACGAAATAGAAGTTGAGCAACTGCTCTATTTCTGTACAGTGAAAGGCAGTGTTACAGTTGTAATCAAATAATGGAAATTGTGTGTTCAGAAGGAGTGAATGTCGTACAGTGCAGAGTGAATAAATGAGTGAATAAATCACAGGCACTTAAGCTAAAGCAGGAATCATCAGAAGGAAGGTCCTAATGATCTATTGTGCCCACATAGGAGCGTTTCTTCATTTGAGTTGAATGCTCTGTAGGCTGAAATGCTTGAATTGGATTATCTTCCCGAACTGAGACACGAGGGAAAATCGCATTTGGGGTCTGAAGAAGAAAACCAAACTGCATCAGAATCTCAGAATCTTGACAGCAACCTCCCAGCAAACAGGTTTTATGGCCTAATAAAAATAAATAAAAAAAGGACCTCCTCCTTTCATGGCAGCCTTGACTGCAGTGTGCCTTTGCTGTTCAGCTGCACATCCTGCTCTCTGGTGCCTCCAGTGCACCCATTTACACATCTCTGCACGGCATGATGTGTACACTTAGATGTGTTTCAGCTTATAAGGTTGTTTGGGAAGAAAGGCTCTGCATAGGTGTAATAATCTAATTTATAATTTGCAGGTACAGTTCCACAGGGGTGGGAGGGCAGGTAATTCTTGCTGCTGGCACAAGCAAGGCATTGCTGTAGTGAGGCACGGGGTATTCCGGCCTGGATCCAGGGAAGCACTTAAACAAGCTCCTTATCTGAAGCACAGATAAAGTACCTTTGTCCCTTACTTATTAGAAGAAAGGTGTCACAGCTTTAATGGCTGAAATTTAGGAAAGTAGTTGCCTGGTGTGTATATGCTCATATATATACACATTTATATATATATATGAATAATTTTATTCCAGAAAAAGGGATCCAGAGCTGCCAGCAAATCATCCAAACACCAGCTTAAGGAAAGTTGGTAATAACTTCTGCTTCATCTACTTGTTGGATGTTTTCTTAATCATCTTTCATAGGCTGTATTTCTGAGTAAGCCCCAAAATATTCTTGCTGTTTCCACCCATGTTTAGTCTTCACATCATCTCTTGGGGTTTACTGCTCTCGTGAAACAAGTTTTTTGCACCAAAGAGTCCTGCCAAAAGTTCTAATCCTGTAGGGAGTGCTGCATTCAGCACTGTCTCAGCTCTCAGCAGTCGTTTTGGGCAAGTGGGAAGTATTTGCAAGGCTGGATTGTAGACAAGCAACAAAGTCAGGGGGAGAGAAATGACACTCCTTCCTTTTTTGCTGCTGCTGCCTGTTTTACTCTGTAGTCTTCCCAAGAGCTACTGAACTGGCCAGAGCTGCCCTGCAGTTAATTCAGCTGCAGCTTTGAGTCTCAGCACAACAGCTAAAAACCAAGAGCTCCACTGTCTCAACATCCTGCAGTTTCTCTGTCTCCAGGCAAACTGTGTCCATGATTTCTATTGATTCAATTGTGACCAGTTGCTGAGTTAAGTGTCACATTAAGCCAAAATATTTACAGCTACAGTTGAAGGCTCTAAACACACAAAACCAATGTCTGGGTTCAGATTTTAGTGTTAAGATTTTCAAACCTTTTAGAAGCATCTTCGAATTCTCTTCAGAAGTAACAAATGTCCATGTTAAAGTAGGAACTATGCTTCCTTTCATGTAGCATAGGCAAAAATAAACCAAAATTGTTGTAAAAAAAAAAGGCACTTTCTCATATCCTAGTCTTAAATATTACTTAGCGGACATGTTAAATACTGGCTTGATACAAGGACTCAGGAGTGTGAAAATGAAGTGAATATCTTTTTTTTTCTACTGGAAAAGGTGACAGAAAATGTTTGCTGATACCACATATTGGTACTCCTACAACTCAGAGGAAATCCAGGAGTGACACCTGAATGTTTGGTTACAAACACGTGAGGAAAAGCTGACTATGCATGTACAGCATGAACTGCTGCCACCACCTTAGAGCAGTGTGTCATGATACAAGCACAGCAAAAGTGGTATCAGCCCCAGGATAAGCAGGATAAAAAACAGAAAATCGAGTTAAACCATTAAATCTGAACGGCTTCTTTCAATTATTTCTCCAGCTTATTCAGCTTCCAAGCTTCTGTTGCAGAGCTGAAATTAATCTTGACTGCCTTGAAGTGCTGAAAGTCATAATCTTTTCCAATCAAGTCTTTTTGTTGTTCTGCATGGACAATCTCTTTTGAGACTAATAAATCTTGATACTAAAATGCTTCTTTTAAATCAGGAGATACAATTTAGAAAATTTCTGCTTATGCCTCTTCTGAGTAATTCTGTTGACATTGTTCTGTGAAGCCTGACTGCTGCTTGATATGAGGAGTAAGGGTTGAGGAGGAATTCTAGGATACCTGCTTACTTAGGTTGTGGATTGTTCTTTCCTGCATTATTTAGTTATAGGATAAAGCAAAACAGTTAAATAATAAAAGAAGATGAACAATTTCTCTTCTGTGTAACTTTAAGAAATTTCAGAATTCTATCATAAAAAACACAAACAACCCCCCAAACAAGGTATCTTTTTGTTGATTCACCTGCTTTTAAATGCAATTTCCCATCTACAGTTGTATTTTAAAACACAGGCATTGTTAAAAGTTAAAAGCCTGGTTTAGAAGTGCCTCCTGTTGTGTACAGCAGCCACTCACAAGGTGTCTTATCACCGGTGTCTCGTGCACAAGAGCAGAATGTCTCCCATGGAGCTTCTGAGCCAAATTCTGTGTGTATCCCATACAAGTGCTAATCTCTCCATAATTCTCAAAGAGCGCAATTCTTCATTCCTTGTCAATAAATGCTTGTAAGAAAACTGTGTTATGAGGAGTTGAATTCCTCATATTAATACAAGCAAAGTAGGAAAGTGCCAATTATTGTGTCAGAGAACACAGAACCAGGATGGAATATGTGGGCTCTGGAGAATGACGGATGCTGGCCTTTCCTTTTTCCACCAGATAATGCTTTTCCTAGTATTGATGAAGTTGTCAGAATGATTTCAGGTTTATTACTTCAAGAAAAGGTGAATGATCACTCTCCCAAATTGCCTCCAGTTGTTACACTGAGCATTATTATGAGGTATTATTCAGAGGTTCAATAAGGAAAGAAGATTCAGTGTAAAATAATAACCCAATATGTAGTTGTCTCCTTATCTCAGATTTACAGTGATGCTTATGTTAAGAATTTGGGAGGCTTGATGAAGTAGAATTTATGCATTTTTGGATGTATTTCTTCAGGAAGTAACACACTTTGTATGGCTTTGACAAAATTTGCAAGATACTCATCAGTGCCTCTGTAAAATTTCACTTCCCTTGCTTATAAATCCATGGAGGCATTTGGGATGTGACTTGAGCAGAGACAAATCATGTGGGCAAGTGGACAGATGAAAGTACAAGCAGGGTTTTCCCTGAGGATGGCAGCAAGGTGACATCCCTCCACCCCTTCACCTCATCTGCTCTCCCACAGCCCCATTGCATTAGTGCTCTTTGGGGAGCAGGGAGATCAGGTGCAATAGTTTGACAGTGCGAAATATGAATGTGCTTCTCAGTAACTTGTCTGTTAAGGCTGGAGGCTCATGCATTTAGCAGAGTGTTTCCAAAGGCTGTGGGAGCCACCAGGCCATGCCAGATCCACCCCAGTGTGTCCCTCGGCTCAGTTACCTGACCGACAGCCAGATCTGAGTGCTATGGTACAGCAAAAGGCAGCTGGGATTTTAAAAGTCTATTTTTTCATCCCCTTCAAAGCCAAAGTCATGGTGGGTCCACCACAGTTGTATCATTCACCAAAATCTGAGTCAAGTGGCCGAAAACCTAAGTAACTTTTCTATTGCCACGGCAATATCTGGCAAGTGTTTGCGCTTTTGGTCCAGGGGACGGTTCTCAAATGTCTTCAAGGGAAGAGATATTTTCTGACACCCATGGAGTTCAGAGCTGGTTGGTCTGTGTGAAATGTGGGGTGGGGAGGCAGGAGGGTGGGTGCTGCCTGTGGGTACCGCTCTATGGGCACTTCAGTTTGGATGGGAGGCTCGGTCTCGCAGTGAGCCAGCCCGGCGAACTTCTCTTGGCGGTGACGGGTGGTCTGGGAGCATCAGCTCTGTGACAGGGCACCTGTGCCCAAGGAGCGCGGCCAAGGCTGCCCCGGGCCGGGAGGTGCGGCAGAGGCGGGGGTTGCAGGAGGTCTGGCTCCGCGGGCTCCCGGTGCCCCTCTCCGCCGCCCTGCCGCAGGGGAGGAGGCTGCGGCCGGCGAGAGCAGCGGCGGCACCGGCACCGGCACCGGGCGGTCCGCGGGGAGCCAAGCCGCGGGCGGCATGGAGTGGGAGCTCAACCTGCTCCTCTACCTGGCGCTGTTTCTCCTGCTGCTGCTGCTGCTGCTGCTCCTGCTGTGCCTGCTCCTCCGGCAGCTGCGGGGCTCGGCAGGCAGCGCCCCCGGAGCAGCCCCGCGCCGCCGCGCCAGCCCTGGGCTGCCTGCGGGGAGTCGGGAGCCCTGAGCCGCCCATCGCTTCCAGGTGAGTCCGCGGGAGGTAGGGAGGGCCGGGGGGCTGCCCCTGGAAGGGTATCGGCTCCTGCTCCGCCAGCATCCCCGCTCAAGCGCTGCCCGCGACCGCGCTCCGGTCCCTCGCTCCCTCTGGAGAGGCTACATTTGCCTTGAGAAATTCAGGGGAAATTTGAAGGCGCGCTCGCCCTGCAGCTTTTACTCTGTAGCAAAGTATTATGAACTCCCCTCAGTCCCTCTTTGCCGAGAGGATTTATGTTGGCTTTACTTTGGCATACAAAGATCTGAATTTGACACTAGTGGAGCATTTTTAAATTTAGCATTTTCCAGTGCAGAAGAAGATACCTTTTAAAAGAACTCTTTTTTTCTTAACTTTAAACACATCTAATTCACATCTAACACATGTTAAGTTTTCTTCCTTTTCTTCTGCAGGAGTTATTCCCTCATATAGCTAAAATACTAAGCAGGCTTCCCTCCCTGTAGGTGGAAACAGACCTGGCAACATCCCATGGCTGACCTCTCCCCATGGATGGCTCACTGTGGCTTTTTATTGCAAGCTTTTGAAATTGGTGCACACTCTGTGATTTGTGTCAGTCTTTTATTTGGTCATTATAGACCTGGTCATCTCTTATACAAACTGTCCCAACACGCAGTCCTGCTTGCCAGGGACTTTGCGAGACATAGGACATTTGGGCTACTCGTACGGGAGCCTTGGAGCTGATGCCATCCTGCCTCACATACCTCAGGACATGAGGATTTGGGGTCTGTAGCCAGCTGGCAGGAGCTGGTGAAGTCAGGACTGTGGCTTCCACTGCCCATGGCAGCCCTTCTGGGGTTCTTGGACCCTGGGGCCGTAACTGGGCCATGCAGGCAGGAACAGTTGTGCTCCCCCATGGCCAGTGTGCTCCTGCACCAGGGGGAATTCAGTGCACAGGGTGACACGGACAAATTCAGCTCAGTTGAAGGAAACTGTATCTGTCAAATTCCCAGAAAGTGGGTGCACAGGCAAGAGCCAGAGCCCCAATTCTCTCTAGTCCTGCCATGCCTCCTCCTGGTGCCTCAGTTGCCCTTCTGCACTCTTGGTTGTTTATTTTCAAAGTCAGGGGAAAATGAGGAGATAACAATACAGCACAGGTTTCCCTGCCAGCGACCCATCAGCCTCTTATCTATATGGTTTTATTGTTCTTTCTCTGTGGAAATGGTGGGAGTGACTTTGGCCTCACATCGGTGACTAATGGTTTTGCCCAATTAATATAAGTAGCCATAAAACTGTAAAGCATATTCTGCATGAGCACAAAGAGATTATCTTTAGACCCAGCTGACTTCACAGATAAGTAGCCCTGAAGTGCTTAAAATCTTGTGAATGGTTGGGGCACTTTTAATAACTTGATTTGCAGAAGCACTTCATACTTACTTTATTGTACGGAACAGTTTTTGTAATGACTTTACAAGCGTGACTGACAAGCCAAGTTACCTTTCTCTAGAAAATGAAGACTAAAACATGATTTTTCTCTTGACATAATATGCATTTTACACCAACAGTACAATAGAAAATTTTGTGGGGGCTACTCAGTGAAATATCTGGAAGTCAGAGGATTATAATCTCTTTGCTCTGTCTTGTTTTGGTACTAGTAATGCGTCTCAAATGTTCTAATTTCACAAAGACCTGCAGTGTAGGAATAAATACCCCAACTTACCAAAATGAGTGCTCCTTTTACGTAAGTTCCATGTTTCAATGCTGTCACCAGCAGCACAATTTGAAGGACAAGCAGAGGAGTTTTTTGGCATCACACCCCCAAGTGGCATCAAACACCCGCACCGCTCAAATGAACTTCCGTTTCTTGATACATATTTCAGGGCACAGCTGTGGAGGCAGCACCTTCCCCTCTGCTGATATTGTCACAGGGCAGGAAGGTGGAAGGAGATGGATGAAGATGGCTCTTCTGTGCTGATGTTGTATCTGATTGTTTTCCCAAACAAAGATTGATGCTGTCAATAGCCCCTTGTCCTTTTGCTTGGAGAGGAGGGCAGGCCCCTTGTGCAAAGAGTGCCCTTCCCACTGTTCAGAGATCTTCTAGGAAGTTTCTAAATTCCCAGTGTCCAACTACACAACAAAAGGTGTGCATCGTTTCGTTTAAGCAGTCAGAAGTAAGCCAAAGCTCTAAAAGATAAGCCAGATGGATCATCTTGGAAAGATCGAAACAAACTGCAGGGTGAGAGAAATACAAGATGGAATCATTAGTAGTCAATTAATCCTGAGTCCTGTGTGTTGCTGAGGGTATCCTGTCCGGGGAGGTTTTCCTCCTGTTCAGCACTAAGGTGTTGGGACACCTGTTAGAACACTTCATTACTAGGCCATTGCTGGCAACCACAGGGAATTCAGATAAGAGCCGTGAAAAACCTTTGGGGAATTCAGAAGGAAAGAACAAAATGGTTAAATATGTATGGTTTTGCTACCTGGCAGCTATAGGGGAATGCAATTATCTGCCAATACTTGAAAAACATAAGCATTGAGAGAGAAGATGAGTTATTTAACATAACCCGTAACTAGACATAACTACAGAGTACAGACAGAGACTAGTCAAAAGAAAAGCAGGAGAAAGTACTTGACAACACGGTGTGTTAGATCAAGAAATAATCTCCCAAGGAAGATGCACAAAGCTCAATGTTTGTATGTTGAAAGTCAGTGCACAAGAGGGACTAATGCTGTGCTTTTATGAAGAGTCACTAACTATGTAATCACCGCTTTTCCCATCTCCAGGTTAAAAGACACAAAGGCTCAGTGGACCAAAATAGTTTCCAGTAAGGCCTGAAGAATTGTGCCAGAAATGTCCTAATTTGGGCATTTGAAAATACTCTAAAACAAATGTAGCAACATTTTACTTTTCTCATGTTTCACCTGGAGTATTTTCACAGTGACAGTGTAGCTCCACTCACAGCTGTGCAAGACCTGCTCAGTACCTTTAATTTCTTGGCATTCCCCAGAAACTCTTTACTGTTTTGGTTCCCTTCAAATGTTGTTACATCTCTCAAATCTTACTTTGAAAATCCACCTCTATGGAGGGCTGTCAAAACTCTGACAGTTGTTTAAGATCTCTTTTGAGGTGCCTTGGGGGGACTTCAGCCAAACAGGTTTTCTGTTCAGATGTACAAGCACATCTGAGCTGACAAAGCTTTCAGTGCAGAATATGATGGTCCATCTGATTTGGGCTTGCAGAAGAATTTTTTTTTAATTATTAAATTGATATTTTAGCTTCTCACATGGTGGTGACTGAAAATTTTAGAACATGGGGAATATATTGCTTGATGCAGTTACAAAAGTTGAAGTATGATTCAGATCTATGAGAGACCTAGATAATGACTGGAGGAATTGCTTGTAGAAAGCCTCACAAATCAGAATGTTCCATGTTTTCAGTGTGACTTTTAGTGAAATTCCGCAGCATATGCTCCAGGTGACTTTTCTATGGAAATGCATGTACTTTATTTTTTATTTCAGAAAAATAAACGTTTTCAGAACAGATCATGTCAATA